AAGCTTCGAAAACAATTGCAACATCACAATTTTGGAAAAACAAAACACTTCATCTCTCGTAAAAACAAAAGGTATATAAATTGATACACAAAAAATAATAAAAAATTTCAATGATTACCATATAAGATGATTTAATTAACTATTTAGTCACCACCGCCAGCACCAAAACCTTGACCACCAAGCACACCGCCACCAAATCCAGTCCCAAAACTTGCCTTACCAACACTTACACCAGAACCAAATCCAAAGCCACCTAAGCCATGACCACCACCACCACCAACGCCGCCTGCGCCGAGCATGCGCCGCCCTAACACGTCAGCAGAAACCATAATGCCACTAAAAAGAACAATTAAAAAAATTACTACAATAACACGAGTTGATGGAATACCCATTATATTAAATGTAAAAACTTTAAATTAAATATATGGATCAAAAATATTTATGAAAAATTGAACAAATAGTGAAATATATGAGAATGTACTTCTATGGACAAGTATATATAGTATTATTAAATTTTTTTTTATTCAATAGTCGATTATATAATATTAATCATGTGTTAGGAGATGTGAAATACATATTTTTTGGATGATAACATGACTTCCATGATCTTTAGACAAATAGAAAATATTAGCTTAGGATCCATAAATCTATTAGTTTAATGATTAAAAAAAAAGATTAATTGGATCATTAGGAATTAAGCAACACACGATTGTAAATCTTTTAATCTTCCTATAGTGGCTTTCCATGAACTATATAGAACTGGTTGCTTATTACCCCCCCCCCCCCCCACCCCCCGGAAAAGGATTTTCAATATGAATTTGAATAAGTTGAGACACGACTTACGACTTATAGATGTCACAATTTATAAATTGAGTGTATCTCTCTTATTCCATCAAGAGAGGTCAGTCTAAACTCAATGAAACAAGATTTAGTTTGAAAGTAAAACAGATTAAAGGACTAACATAATATAAATATGCAGAAATAATAACATAACTCAAAATGTCTCAAAGAACTAATGTCACGTACGAGCCTCTAAGTAATATCTTACAAGATCCTTCGTAATAATCTGAAGGAACAATACTTATAGCCCCACCAGGATCCATGTCGCTTATTAAGCATTTAGGGGTCATTCAACAGGAATCAAACAATTCTTTCAAATTTCATATGTGTTAGTATATGATTTTTTTTGGGTGATAATTAAGGATTTTAGGCACACATATGTCAAGTCATCTCTAGAATAAGTCTTTTTCGCACAGTGTCAAGTTGAATATATGAATAAATGAAAGCCCTCAATTGGGATGATCAGTCTGCACTTTTTAGGTTAGGAGGCTGACGATACAAAACAAATTAATTTTCAACCATCAAACTTTTAATTTAGCGATCTCATGTGGCAAAATATGAGAAAGACATGAAATGTTAATTATATGATATTTCAATTTGTTTGGATGGTTGTTAGAGGAATCAGACGATTTTTTCAAAATTTTTTTTTGTGTTACATAAATTTTCGTGACATGGATTTTCGGTGTTTTTTTTTTGTAAAAACTATACAGGACCCTTTGTATGACCTGGAGGAACAATACCTATAGTCTTACCCATGATCCACGCCACTTTTTTAGCATTTTGAGGTCACTCAACAAGAATTAAGCGATTTTTTCAATTTTTTTTGTGTGTGTTAGTATATGAATTTCTGGTGACTGTCAGATACTTTTTTTTACAAAAAATTTACCAGATCCTCCGTAATAACCTGGGAGAACAATACCTAAACCATCATCATGATCCACACTTCTTTCTTAGCATTTAAGGGACGCTCAAGAAATTAGACGATTTTCTCTTCTTTTTTTTCGTATATATTAATATATGAATTTTTTGATGATATGGATTTTGAACACTTTTTGCAAAAAAAAAAAAAAAAAAACTTTGCAGGATCCTCTTTAATGACCTACGAACCAATACCCACAACTTCACCTATCATCCACGTCAATTTTTTCGAGAAGCCAGTCCACAAGAATTATATTATTTTCTCAATTTTTTGTATGTGTTAGCACATAAACTTTAATTTTAGGTGATATAAATTTTGAACACTTCTTTTCAAAAACTTCATAAGACTCCCCGTAATAATCTGAAAAAACAATTCTTATAATCTCGCTATGATCTACGCCATCTTTTTTAGCATTTAAAAGTCACATTATCCTCGTGATAATAATTAAACTAATCAATCAATCAAACTTCAAAAACGAAAATAAAAGCATATGGGGAGGATTTATTCTTGCATTCTTTTCCCAAAATAGCAAAAGATCATATATAACCATTATTGTCAAAGAATAAATCGATACACTCAAAATTCAAACACCATCATATCAAATTAAAAAATATAAAGTTAATTCTTTAAGGTTCGGTTACAATTGCAATAGAATTCACATAAATAGAAATACAATATCACACCATCTCCCGTGAAAATTAAAATCATAAATTGAAACAGAAAAGATGAAAAAAGACACTCCGATTATTACCATATAAGGTAAATAAATTAATTTAGTTTCCACCGCCAATGCCAAGACCTTTACCACCAAGCACACCGCCACCGAATCCAATCCCACCATTTATATCACGGCCAAGACTTCCACCAATACCAACTCCCAAGCCACCTAAACCACCACCACCACTACCTACGCCGCTAGCACCGAGCATGCGCCGCCCTAATACGTCAGCAGAAACCATAATGCCACTAAAAAGAACAATTAAGAGAACTATTCCAAAAATACGAGCTGATGAAATACCCATTATATTAATTATAACTTCTAAATTAAATGTATAGACCAAAAATATTTATGAAATATAGAAGAAGAAAAAATAACCAAATAGTGAAAAATACTTTAGATATATATGAGAATGTATACTTTCTTAAGCAAGTATATATAGTGTTAAATTGGTCTATTTTTAATTAAATAATTGATTATAATATTAATCATATGTTAGGAGATGTGAAATATATAATTACTAATGATAAGATCCATGATCTTAATTCTTAGCCAAATATACACAATATTCATTAATCTATTACTTAATCATGATTAGACGAGAATCATGAGTATCATTAATTAGGAATTAAGCAACGCACGATTGTAAATAAATAAAAATGTATTTTGGTGCCCATAGTGGCTTTCCATGAATTTGGAACCAATTTATTCTAATTATATTATATACTTAATCAAAGTAATATACAACCAATATAATTAATTATCGAACGGTTTACAAGTATAGATCCCCAAATTTATGGTAGGGGTGGTAATTAAATATCCCATCATTTTAATCGAATGTCTCAAATTCGAAAGTGCATTATATATAGGGCAACTTTCACATATAGCAAATAAAAAATTCATATTTGTATGCTATAGCAAACTTTGCATAATTGGGCTCCATAGCAAACATAAAACTGTATAATTTGTTATATATATATAATTGTATAATTCGCTGGCCTAAATTGTATAATTCGCTGACCTATTTCGCTGTAATTGTATAATTTGTTTTGCATACAG